GTCGACGTCTGCTCGAGGTCGCTGGTGCATCGACCCCTCACCAGCTTCTCGCCGGGCAGGGCACACACCGTACTCCTGCAGGCGCGCATGAACGGGTCCCAGACGTCAGTGACCCCGCAACGGAGATCCTCGCCAATCACCAGCTCCAGTCTCACCATCAGCCCACGCACGGGGGACGCTAGCTCTGGATCCTCGCACGGCGCGCTACATTGCGCCTCCTGTACCCTTCCGCCGCTGCAGCGCAGACAGTAGACGTTGCGGTAGGCCCGCCCACCGCTGTAGATGACCGCGGTGTGGTTCCGGCAGAGCCGCAGCAGCTCCGGGTCGGCGTCCGGCGAGCAGGAGGCGACGGCCGGCCGGCAGGCGCGCGGCCACAGGCCGGCCGGGGGCTGCGGGGTCAGCGCGCACGTGGCCAGCGCGCCAGAACGCAGGCGCAGCGCCCAGCCGTCGCCGACGGACGGCCGCAGCCCGGCCAGCACGGCCGCCGCGTCCAGCGACTCGGACACGGCTGGGCAGGTGGCACGCACGCGCCAAAACTCCAGCCGCGCCGTGTCGCCGTGACAGATGGCGCAGTACACGTTGCGGTAGGTGACGCCCGAGTCGCGGCTGGTCACCGGCAGGGCGGCCAGCGGGTCCACACGCGCAGAGGCCGGCCGCTCACAGAGCCGGTGCGCCGCGGCGCCGCGCGGACAGGCGTCGCGCATGTACCAGTGGCCCGGCGGCTGCTGCGGCGGCGGGCAGCGGCGTCAGCGGCACCGCCGGGCGGCACGAGAAGGCCCCGGGCACCGCGGCCGCTGCCGGCGCGTCGCGGCAGCAGTCGCCGTAGCGCGCGCACTCGGGGTCACAGAAGCAGCCGCGCTCACGCCAGGAGCGGCTGGCGCGCGTGTCGCGGCGCCACCAGCTGAGCGGCGAGCAGGAGTGGTGGTCCGGGCAGAGCTCCGGCGGTGTCCGGGGTGGAGCGGCGCTGTGGGATGCCACCCCGAACCACGTCCAGCACGGGGTGGTAGGACACCGGGTGGTGGTCTCTAGCATCGTCGTAAGAGGAGCTGTCCGCCGGCTGCTTGGACCGATGGTCGTGGACCACGGAGTCGTGTTTCTTCTTCCAGAAGTCCTCTGGCGGAAGGGGATGCTGATGCTTGGGACGGCCACACGTGTCGCAGAGAGGGTCGTCGTAATGTCGCTGCTGGTCGTGGTCACTGGGCGGCGGGGAACCGCCGTGCTTCTCGCGGAACTGTCTGACGTCCTCTCGGATGGCGTTCAGAAGCGGATCATCTCTGAGTGGGTCCAGCCCGCCCTTTGACTGGCTCCGGAACCGAAATCCTCCCGGGTACGCGAGCACGTGATACCAGAACTCACCGGGCTCCCGGGGATCCGAACGTGGAGGCTGCAGAGCGCCCTCTGAGCTTCGGGCGGCGCTCTTCCAAGGGTCCTGCGCTCGCGACCTGAGACCAGAGTCGCCCTGGTGCCAGTTGTTCCAGTCGCTTCCGTGCCAGTTCCGCTGATACCAGCTGGAGGCATCGTCTGCGTGCCAGCTGTCCTGTCTCCAACCTGCTCCCCTGCCAGCTCGAGTGTATCCAGCGCCGGATTGGTGTCGGGGCTTGGACTGACCTGCACTAGGTAGCCCTCCGTTTCCGAGCGCTGAGCTGAGCCCCGCAGGATGATCAGCGGCGGTGTCTCTCCACAGCCCACGCACCTTCCGAAAAACGACGTCCGTCTGCAGGTCTGCCTGCCGGTCCGCCTGCTCGTCTGCCTGCTGCTGGTCGCTGGCCTGCTGCGGTGGCTGGGACCCGCTGGCCAGCGGCTGGCTGGCCTGCTGAGGCGGCAGCAGCTGGGACCCGCTGGCCAGCGGCTGGCTGGCCTGCTGAGGCGGCAGCAGCTGGTGCGCTGTCCCGCTGCATAGCAGCAGCGCTAGCAGAAGGTACCGGCGCATGCTGTAGATGCTTCTGACGTTTGCAATGCTAACGGGCACGGCTGGAGTCACAGCCCCACTCACACGACTCTGACTCCAGCTGGAGATGTGAACGCCCGGCCCAGCGCAGACCAGCGCGATCAAACGCCCGCTCGGCCGCCGGGCTGTTGGCTCGACAGTCCTGCCCGTTGGTGGCAGGCGCGCTCAGAGAGGCGAGGCGCAGCCGTCTGCAGTGCAGGAGCGAGCGACGCCCGCAGCCGGCGCCTCGACACTGACCCCCCGCACTGGCGCCCTGCCGTCCTCATAACGCGTGCCGTCGCGGCAGGAAACGCTAATTGGTTCGGCCGCTTTGATATGCGGCTGGGGCGAAAGCGAAAGGCCAGGTGGAGGGAGGGCTTACGACGGATCAGCCTCAATGAATGGAGGCGCATGCCTTGTGGGATTCAGCAGACTTGGTGTGTTTACCATGGCGGGATGCGTCCCGTGCATGTCGTGCAGAGGGCATGTCAGGCGTGGAAATAACAATGCAGTCGTTGGTATCCTGCTGAAAGGGCGAGGACATTGCCTTTGTGAAAGAGGATTGACTGTCGTGCCATGGAATTAGCTGCGTTACATGCTAATTCTACAACAACGAAATAAGCGGTGTCGGCAGGCAGTTGTGAAAAGAACAATAACTTATAGTTCATGGTACCTTTAAATAGCGTCAAAAGGAGGATAGACGTTTCACCTCGAATGTTTTATCAGTGTATCAGTTCCGTGAAGCTTACGTGGCAGTCATCGACGCTTCAAGGCTGCGCCTCATACCATACCATGCCTGTCGTACACACGTGCGGTGTTTTAAGCTGCCGTTCGCTGGCAGACTACCGACGTTGTCGGCAGGGTAGCCGTACATTGCGGCGGACAGCCTGCCATGACGTCAGCATTGATCTGCACGGCAGAGGTGGCATCATCTATCGTTCAAGCTGGCGTCACTGGCAGAGCACTTAGGTGTGAGCTCGGTGGGGGAGCGTCTCGGTTAGCGTATAGGTCAGAATAGGTAGGAGCATTGCTCGTGGATGTAAACATACTTCTAAAAATAAAACAAATATTGACCCGGTGCAAGAATGCGCGCCATCGTTTTCAAGCCCATACATTGCTTAGAGATGGTAGCTATCGTTTGTATGTATATTCTAGCTTATTGCTACATTCTCAGCAACATGTATGAAGGGCATATGTATGAAGGGTAGGGTACACCTAATGATCTATTCCAGGTTCATTCGGGGCGGCAGGGAAAGCATGTTGTGTCCTTCGAGATTGAAGGTTTGCCGCCTTTCCTGCGCAGAATATGGGTCGTCCAACACATTGCCACGAAATCTTCACCAGGACAGATGGTTCTGAGAGAAAATGTGAATTATTGACGCCCTTTAACACATGGTTGGTGCTCGTTCAGAATAATCGCGTTGCGTTGCGTAGCAAACTGCAGGCATTGTTTTCATGAACGCGTTTATGGCCAAATGTGTTCGAGGACATTATCTCCCGTGATGTATAATCGCGCAGCTGCCTGTCGCAGACAATTGTTAAGTGGAAACTTGGACGACATCATAACATTGTCTTTGGCCAAAAGTTTGCATGCGTAACTAAACAAGTGTGGTCATCAGAGCTCACATACGTTTTCGCCACACTGTTTACATTGATTGTCACGAAAATGTGCCACGAGAGAGCATCGGACGTGGTTGCCAGCTCCCGTGACGCATGTGTTATGGTGGATGTGCCAGTTGGGCCAGGATGGGACTTCGGAAAATAAGATCGGGGTCCAAGCACAAAAAATGGTTAGGCATCATCCCAAAGGCGCTGAAGAACGCGTTTCCCCACGGATTTGACCGACTTCCTTCTCACAGTTGGTGGAGAAGGGCTGGACCCCCCCCCCCCCCTCCCCCTTTCATCACATTTAAATTGGAAAGTACATCCCCAAGACCAAGAAAGCAAGGAAACTTCCAATTGCCGCGCGTGGAGGCAAGAATAACCGCGCAGGCTGATGTTCATAACATCACAGCCAGCTACGTGCCCCAACTGTAGCACAAATTTGCAGCAAAAAATGCGATACAATCACTCATCCTAATTTAGTTCCTCCGTTTTGCACGGCTCGGATATCATTCCAGAAACTCGGCTAGGGCTATGTTTAACCCTGAAACGGTCGCAGGTTAGAGGCAACAAACACGAGTGTTTTTGTGTTCCTTCTGAATGCGCCACGGTTGTCCACAACATGTGTGCTGGAGGCGTGATTGGCCAAACTCAGATTGTTATCCTGACTGTTGTTCGTTCCGGACACACTGATTCGTGAATGGGGTGTCATCGCGCTTGGGGCATTATGGACGGTGTCTGGACATAATCGCATCACCTTATATTCATCTTAACTGCGAAGTCCTACTTTTCAAGCCTAGCGATAGCACTGGCGTAGTCCGTGACAAACACACATCAGCGCGAAGATCCGTTATTTTCGCGCGTTTCCGTCAATACCAATGTTCACAAAGCCATTGGCTCTCTGAAGCGCAGTCAGTCCGGATTATACCGGATATTGCCGGACATTATAAACATTCGGTGCATTTTGTCGTGAGACTTGGCGCTGCCGACCCAGATTTATCTGGAATGAAATTAACATAACATCTCCAGTCGCGGCCAGCAGCCGGGCTACCGCGCAGTTTAGTGCACAAACTGTTTACTTGACGGCGGAGCAGCGACAGACCATATGAGGCGCAGCTTGCTGTTTGCGGTCAGATTCTTCCGAGGCGAGGCCGGGCATGGTCTGGACGCCGCGTCCCGCTCAAGAGTCCTGCACTCTGGAGGAGTCCCGTGTTGTGTGAGGGTCGCGTGGAGCATCCTGCTCAAGTCAACAGCTAGGGCCCGGGCCTGGCGCAGGGCCCACCTTCGGACAAGTTAACGACCAAACGACACATTTTCGAATCAGGTTAGGTCGCTCTGACATAGAGTTGCAAAAGGCCCGCAGCCTGGGTGCAGCGGGAAGTGAGCCTTAAGCTCGTGCCGAGCGGTGCACTGGGCGGTCAGGACCGAGAGTCGTCGGCATCTCCTGATCGGCAGCATCAGGAGACGGACCATGAACCGCGTCTGCCTGGCTCGCCTGACCGGGGCGCGGGCGTCGCTGGCGCAGAGCGTCAGAGGGGTGGCCGGTCAGGAGCGCCTGGAGCTGGAGACGCGTCAGGGCGCTCCGGGCGTCAGAGGCGCGGTGGAACAGGAGAAGCCCGAACTCGAGGTCCGCTCGGACGTCTTCTCGGCCCGCCCCACGCGGAGCCTCTTGCGGACGCTGGCCATCTATCAAGTGTGTGCCGTGGACCGAATCGTTGACAATAGTCTACAGGTGAGTAATATCTTGTTCAACGTGGCTGTGATGATTGTGGGCGAGAAAAGTCATGCGTTTGTGATGACTGGCTGAACACGTCGGCATATTAAAGAAGGGGCTTCACATTTATGTGCGGTTTTGGGCTGAAATGGCCACCTTGAAGACCTTTCCATGCTGTTGGCAATCATGTCCTTGCTAGGACCTAAGCCCCTCAAGTTTCCGAGCTACACGCCCGAGAAAATGGGGAAGGGTGTATGGGGAAGAGCATTTAAATGTCACCTTGGTGTTCATAACGTCATAATAATGTCACTCAAATGTTGTCGTTCCGAAAGCCATGCGGCAACCAACGCCAAGAAAGATATAACCGTCGAGGTGTTCATATCTGACGCCCGTGAGCACGATTTCCAGATAAAACAGCCCTTCAATTGGGTTTCGATAAATTTTTGCGAGGTACAATGACGTAATCAAACCATGACGTGTTGAGGAGTATATTAAGTAAGCAGAGTATTGTGCCACCTAGAGCAGTCTTTTCCACTTAAAAAGCATGCCAATTTTTATAAGTGGGTTTATTTCATCATTTCTGATACTTGCATTAATATCTTCAAATACGAAACATTCCCTTTGAACATTATGCATCTACGTTAGCACCCCAGAATGTAGATGCAATGAGTAGAAGTGGCATGTATGGAGCAGGTGCAAAGTAACGTGCCTATCAAGAAAATGCGCTAACATGTTGCGTTTGAGTGCTTGTGTCTCCCAAATCGTTTCTTTGTGGCGCAATCGCAAAGCGACCTCAGTTGTAATCGCATCCTTTAACAGCAGCCGCGCTTTTCGTGTCGTTTATGCTCCTCACAACAGCTTCACTCACTCTCAAATTAAGTTGTACGTTCGACGATTTTCTGTACATCATATGCTGAACTCATCGCCATAAGAGAACCTTACCAACATACGACGGCAGAACAGCGTGCACTCGCCCTTAATGAACTAAAGCGCGATGAAAGTGGTGACAACCCTCCGTCTAGCGCAGTCAGCGGCTACATCACCTCTACCACATCCCCTCCCGCACTCTCAAACGGTTAAGTGGGTGCCAAACAACTTTTTGTCATGACATAGCGAAAGCCATGCGACGGACGGTCACAGTGTATATATACATATATATATATATATATATATATATATATATAATATATGAGCATATCGTTAAACCAGCCAATCATTGGGCGCTGGTTCTCCGCCGACAGCTGCTACGATTGGGCGAACGGCTGCTGGGCTCACGCCTGCTGCAGCTGTTGGCGCAGCCGTTCTACCGGCAGTTCGTGGCTGGTGCCGAGCAGCGCGAGCTGGCGCAGGTGGCCGCCACGCTGCAGCGCGACAACATCCAGCTGATGTTGACCAGCATGCTTGAGGCCGACGTAGACGAGGAGGCAGCCAGGTGAGCGGGCGGGCTCGGCAGTGACGGCGCCCCTCACGCGAGACCACTGTCGGACTGGAGTTGCTGGCCCCTTGGAGCAGAGTCCGTCACGTGGGTGAGGCGAAATGGGGGACGGTTGCGGACGTGAAGGAGGATGGATGCCTCATCGAGGGAAGAGACCGTAGATGCTAGTGCATGCGTGGGGGAAGGGGATGGAGGAGGGGGTTACTGACCGGTGTCGGTGTCGGACAGGAGAGAGGACGGAGGAGGGGTTACTGACCGGTGTCGGTGTTGGACCGGGGAAAGGACGGATGAGGGGTTACTGACCGGTGTCAGTGTCGGACCGGGGAGAGGACGGAGGAGTTGCTGACCAGTGTCGGTGTCGGACCGGGAAGAGCGAGGCAGAGGGCCTGCTACGGTGATCGGTAGTAACGTCCCCCAGATTCACATGGTTCCAAGCGCGCGCCTCACCGAAATCTTCCTGTTTGCTGTGAGACTGATCTTGAAAGCAGGAAGAGACTGTATTGCGTGCTCAAAAACGTAGCAAGTCCTTAAAATTGCAGGTGGTAATATTTTGAACGTATGCAACCTTTGCTGTCAGCGGCTCTATGCCTTAGCAAGTGAATCTGTCGTCTAACGTTTTGCGTCTTCGGTGAGGACTAACGGAGGGCGTGTTGGCAGTGAACGGCAGCTGGCGGCTAACCTGAGATGACGTGTTGGCAGCGAGCGGCAGCTGGAGGCTAACCTGGAGGAGGCTCTCCGGGTTCTGACCATCGTCCGAGAGGTGACGGCCGGCCAGGACCAGGCGGCCCTCCAGGCCAAGTTCACGGCCCATCTGAACGCCGACCTGCTGGTGAGGGCGGCACCGCGTACCGCCAGCTCTGCTAAATGTGAACGTGAATTGGGTATAACAGTGATGAGAGTGAGAACAGTGGCAGTTTATGAACCTGTGTTCACGTGGATTGGATTTAAATGGTGTCTCAGCTGCTGATCTGCGTTTCACTTTGCTTGGGAATTTATTCATACAGAAGATAGAGATAGAAACAAAGGCGCCATTTATTTAGCTCGTGCATCCCGCTCAAATGATCCAGCAATATTGCTAATCCCTCACCCGCACCGACTCCGACAGGTGCATATCTCGCGGGTATTCTCCTCCAGCGAGAGCCCGTCCAGTCTAGTCGAGCAGTTAGCGAACGCCATGGTGACATCAGATCAGGTCAGCGTACCAGGCTTGACGTCAGAACAGCAGTACGCCTGGGACTCGTGCGTTCGCCGCCTGAAGACGCTGGGTACGTTAAAGCGACTGGGCTGGCATTCCTTGCGTAATGTTTCATTCATCCCAGGTTTGATTGCCACTCACCACCCCGGCGAGCGTTGACCTGGGGCTCGTTTTGACAATACGAAGCATCGACAAACCTAATCGATAGTTTACCTCATGTGTGGATGAATAATTTGGGAGTTGTCACCCCATTCAAGCATGAATCACATCTCCTGAGATGTGGGGAACCAGAAGTCGCTCCTGAGCTTTGTCAACAGTTAGATGTAAAACGAATGCTCGAGGATTCCGCCGAATACACGTGTCATATACCAACCATAAAAGGTGGACAACCCACTCATGGTTGTCGGCATTATTCTTTTCCCATGCATGTCAAAGATGACGGACGACTTTTCATGCACGAAAAAGACATCATACAATTAGTAGGCTTCATATGTAGGTCAGGCAACGTCGCTTTGCTTGTCACATCAGTGCACGGCCTTTATTTATAGGTTATTTATCTCCATCTCTCGTGTAGACTAGTGCGCTCGGACGGCAGCCTCAAAGCCGCACCACACTCCCGCGTTTGTAACCAAGCGGCTGGGCGGCAGGCGAGGCCTGCGCAGACAGCGGCATGCTGATGTTTGTGGACGGCGAGTTCACCTACACAAACCCGGCCATCTCCTGGCTGACGCTGGCACTGATGGCGGTGTTCAACCAGCGGGAGGCCTTCATCAGGGGCACCCACCAGTGCTACCTCAAGGTCAGCGTCAGCGATGCACACTGGCGCTCCACGGACTTCACCGTCAGGGCGCCCTCCAGTGCTGGCTCAAAGGCAGCGGCGGAGGGCATGCACTAGGTATGCCCCGGGTCAGCGTCAGCACTTGACGTGGGTATCATCCCAACTCAGCATTGGCGGCGTCCACCAGAGTGACCAAAACGTGTGCCGGCGCCCACCAGTGTAAATGAAGTCATTAGCAGGGGTGTCACCTTGCATATTTTCGGGAGGGCCTGAGGGCCTGAGCTCGGTGAGAGCTCATCATGCGATTTTTTTATTTTCTGTCAGGAGCCACCTATGGTAAATGCTAATTATATATCCACCCCACGCTCACCCACTCCTTATCGTGAATTATTTTGTGTATCCCTGGGGGTACCTACCAGCGCGGCCACAAGACCAGGACTCAGGTCCAACACCCAAGCTGTTCCTGACAGGCGTGAGAGCTCTCACCTGCAGTCGATTGCATGCGCTGGTGATTCACACTCGGTGACAGCGTCCGCGGGCCTCTGTCTCCAGGCGACGCCAGCTAACCTGGAGCGCGAGTACGCCATCTGTCAGCAGCTGGGCGCATGTTTTGGCGGGAAACTGGTGCGCGGCGCGTACATGGCGCGTGAGCGACAGCTGGCGCAGCAGGAGGGGCGTGCCAGCCCCGTCTGCGACAGTTATGAGGCGACCACGCTCAGCTATACGCGGTGAGCTACTGCAATACTCGCAGGGACTTCTCCTAAGCTCTAACATAGCGGAGTATTGGTCATTAGGCGAGGACTCGCAGCGACTGGTGTCACCTCTTCTCGGCAGGCAAGCTGCAAGGGCATACAGGCCAGCTGCATATGGTGGGCACCTTTTTCCTCGCATTCCTGTGTCTTGCTTAGTTGTGAGTATTTATACCCTGTTTTTTTGGTCGTGGATCGCTCTATTAACGTCGATGTTAATGACGGATTTCCAGTGCTGTGGAGTTTGCCCTGCGACGTGTGGCGGAGGACGGTGGGCGCACCCAGATCATGGTTGCCACGCACAACCACGAGTCCATCCTGCACGCGCTCGGGTCAGTTTACCGGTTCTCGCATTGAGTGGGAGACAAGGCTTGAAATAGTACAATGGCGTTTCCATAGAGATGCAAGGCTGTGGGGCGTCATCATTAAGCTAATGCGCCAGCATCACACTGCTGGATTGGGCCAGTGCTGGGCTCGCGCTCGCATAATTTCACCACCCTCTCCCGGTAACATGAACCAGCCCTCGGTCCTCAAACTCACCTCTCCCAGTAACATGAACCAGCCCTCGGTCCTCAAACTCACCTGTCCAATGCATGACTTCATGCGCTTAGCCACGACGTCGTCAGTTCTAGCTGATCGCAACTTCACCTGCTACCGCTAGTAGCGCCTACCACCACGTTTCCTGCCAACCATGTCAAATCCAGCTAACCCAGTCTGGCCGCTTCTCCTGCAGGCTGGCGCGCCGGCTGGGCGTGGTGCCCTTCAGCGGTGGCCTCGCCTTCGCCCAGATCTACGGCATGGCCGACTACCTGACGGTTGCCGCTGGGACGCGCTGGTCACCGCGTCTTTAAGGCGGTGCCGTTCGGCGAATTACCACGGTGATGCCGTATCTGTCGCGGCGCGCCGCCGAAGTCGCGGCTCGTGCAGCAAGGGGTGCGAGTGGAAAAGCAGCTGTTGCTGCGCGAGCTGGTCAGCCGGTTTGGGCTGCGCCGCCCGGCCACCACTTGAGTGGGGGGGGGGGGGGGCTGTTGGGTGGCTTTAGAGTGGTCATCACGCGGTTCTCCGTCGCCTGTGAAAACAGTGCCGGTGTCTACAAGGCTTGTGAGAACGGTTTGTCGGTTGTTTCCACTGTCTGAGGGGGCGGCGCGAAATCTTCGCCGCCTGATAGCACGGTGCTGAGTTCCGCTCTCCTAAGAGGAGGACAAAGCGTATGATCCCCTGAGAGGTGAGAGGTTAGGGTATTTCTGTTCCCTGAGAGAACAGCAAGGCATTTCTACTTTCTGAGAGGATAGCGCCAGACCTCCACCCGCCCTAAGCAGAAGCTGCGTGATATCCTCTGCAAACATTGTCCGCCCCTGAGCGGACAACGGAGGTTTTCCCGAATACACAGAGCGAGTTAATTGTCTGCTTGAGAAGGCATTGTTAGCACCCCGCTAATTGAGTGTGCAACTCAGGGTTGTTCTCAGTGAACGATTGCAGTGTCTAATGAGCAGCTGTGAAATTCGCCGGGGATTGGGTGCATTGCGTGGCCTTTGGACCGCAAAGATAAGGCACAATAACCGGCGCGCACTTTAATGGCTGTGTCGCACTTGCGAAGGCGTTATCAGCCGTGCAGGGGTTAGAGTTTCCGGGTGGTCGTGCTATTATCGCGGGTGTCCCGAAGGTACAACATGGCAGTATGCGGAGATTCCCCTAGCACCCAGAACAGAAGCGCAATGAAGTGTATCGGTGCCTCTATTGCTGTGCTGTCCTGGTCACGCCAATAAACACACGCTGCGCTAACGTGCATATATTCGCTGCGATACATTAGCGTGGTTCCTTTTACAGTGTATTTGTGCTCTGCTTGGTTAAGAAATGCTGTGATTTTCTTTCTACGTACGAATAAATGCTCATGCATTTAGCGAGTTTCTCTCAGAGGTAATGAGGACTGTGTTACAGCTTCTAAAAAGCATTGATTGGCTCATATGTCGATGGCACTGGGCCTCTGTCTTCGGTCCACGTAACTTCCCTTCATTCTGACTTATCGGTGCGTTAAACTATCGGCGACCATCGAAACTTACGGTAACTATAAACTGACTATCGGTGCGCTGTCGGTGCGCTAAACTGTACCTGTCTGGCCCAAGCAATGTTTTCGCTCAAAACTTACGAGGTTTATACAAATCCGGACACGCTATAACCGCTGAGCAAAGCACGAATCTCGCGCGACGAAACGGCAGCCCATCCCCTGATCTGTGCGTCCTTGGCCTTCCCGCGGCTATCGCATCGCTTTATCTTGCCTATTGTTCAACTGTATCGACTGAGGTCAAATTTGTGTCCGAAGTCTCGTCTATCGGGGGGTCGCCATGGGGATGACAACGTTTCTTCGGCGGCCCGGGACTACAGGCCCACTGTCTTGGACGGTCGGGCGTTACCTTCTTCGGAATACCACGGCCCAGCTAATGCCATTGACCGCTTCCGGAACCACCAACAGCGTCTAGGTCACTTAAAAGCCTAAGAGAGAACTTGTAGCTCTCATTGCATGGTCTACTAAGTGGACCCTAATGATGATCATAGCAATGCCCAAACACATTTTGGCTTTTGACATGATGTGTGTCTGGATGTCATGGAGAGCAGTCCCCAACAGAGGGCTACGCCAGGCTTCCTACCGTATGGAGAGTGGATTGAGGATTGAGGAAACCGCTTCAAGTGGGTTGGAACACAAGAGCGCAGCAGTTGTTACAATGCGTTTTTGAAGTGCCCCGAGAATCTGCCGCCCTGGAAGTGAGGAGATAGCGAAATCTGTCACACCTACGTTGCGGCGCGGCCAGTCTTGGTATGGGGGCGACCACAGGATTATTAAGGGGACCCTGCTGCTGATCTCTCCTTCCCCAAAAAAAGTTTTTGTTTTCAAAGAGGCATGATTCTTTCAAAAAGAAGCCAGAAGCCCCAGGAAGATGCGGTTCCCCTGTGCATTGAGGTCAAACATATGAACACATCAGTGATTAAATAACTGCGTCATATAAACCACAGGCGCTATGAATTTTAAATGGTTCAGTGTATGTTTCCTAAATGAATAGGATTTCAGAGGCTTGTTGGAATTTTTCGGGATTTAATAGATATTGAGGACAACGTGGATTTAACGTTGGTTATTGACTTAACTGTGTCAAAAAAATGTAGTGACATGAGTCAAGATGTTCAGCCTTCATTCAAAATGGGTCATTGAAACAACTGTGTAGCCGTTTCAGCCACGCACGCCCGTAAGTCTTAAACAAGAACCTGACGCCTGGAGTTATAGTCTCACAGGTCGTGCGGCGTTAGCCGCACCGTGAGCACTTGACGGCGGCCAACAGCGGAAGAACACACACACGTATCTGAAAGAAGTGCGTGCAAATCCATAATGCATCAATTCGTGCACTTAGAAGGCAGTCCGGGCCGTGATTTCACCCGTGCGATTCTCAACTTGGTACCGGGATACTGAAACCAGGAACATGCTAGTATTGACGGTGCTGAGAACGTTAACGTAATGGTGATATCTCTGTTTATCGTGTTGCAGAAACTGTTCAACAGATCAGAGGACAACCAAAAAAAACTACGGGAAGAATATACACCATGCAGTCTAAGAATTTATAGTAGGGAATGATTCCGAAAGACTTTCGGAGGCATGATCTCACCACACATGGTCGTTCTCGCGCGCACGATACCCTCTGCTTGTTGTCAGCTGCAGTGGCCACTCGTTCTTCTTGACAAAAAACTACAATCCCGACGTCGATAGCCTTCCCCTTACAGATGGCGAGCGCTTAAGTTGAGAACATTTCGATGCGATGTGTTTCATTAGGATATCTTGAAAAAGAGTTGACATCCTCGGAAACAAATTTTGAACCTCCATCGATCCGCTCTCTTAAACGCTAAGGAGACCATTTGCCTTTCGCGGGCGAGAGGGCTCCGTAGCTGGAATAACAGGGAAGCGCATATCTTTCGGGTCATGGGCTGAAGGGCCCTTCCTCCCCAACCAGGGGTGCCTACGTGCCGCCATTCTGACGAAACGGGTCAAGTGGCCTGGTGGTCAATCTGAAGAGCTTCAATTATACATGGTGCATCGGTCCCCCTCCCTTATACGGAAGGCCCCCTGACGGGAGCAGTTGGTCCTGGATCGGCGCTGACGCCGTGAAGGACGTAACAGTATCCCTTAACGACATGGGGGCCCGTTAATTGCCACAAGGACTCCAGTTCAGCTAATCAAGGCACGGGCTAATTGGAGAAGGTGACCCCTTCGGTACTAGAGCCCCTGACTGACACGTGGTCTTTACATGAGCTCGCTGCAGACCCTTTTCGTCGTAAGCTCTCATTTCTCATTTCATTGCTTCCTGAGACAGAGAACCTCGAAGCGTCCAGAGCGACAGGTCCTCTGGCATTCGGGGTCCCGACCCTGCCCCCGTTCAGCAGATATGCCTCTCGCCGACCCGGGTCCCTCCTGCCAACACAGGACATAGGCAAGGATGGCAAGGTAGGCAAGCATGCCGCATGGCCTGCACAGCCCGCTCCCCTTTGTTTGAACCTTTGTTTCAGCTCTCGCCCCCGCCCCGGCCCGCATAGTATCAGGGCACAGATACCAATGTAAATCGCGTGCCCCCGGTCCTGTCCCTGCATGGGGAAATGGGTCCCCAGAACTCAAACAGTTACGCAGCTGACTCTTCGGTGTTGGATGTTTCTGGACCAAGTGGAGGTACGCATTGTCCCAGAGAATCCCGATCGGCGCGAGAGGTCCTCTGATTGGCACTTGAGGGTCGGGCCCTGCGCTCCGGGTCCCTGAAAGCGATTTCCAGCCAGCACTTCGACCCCCCCCCCCCCCCCTCCCGTGCTCCCTGCATCCCACATTCTGTCTACGCCTCCCCCCCTCCACGATGTTTCGGAAACTACCGGTTGAAAACAGCCCATGGTCAGGGTGCGTGGCGAGAGGTTGTTGTCAATTTTTTTTAAACGTTAAACCTTGTGGTTAAATTCTTTTGAAGTTTAATGAAGTAAACCATGCTGAAAGTTGCTCAGTTTGTGCTTATTCGGCCATTGTGCTGATAAACCTTCTTATTATATTGGGATTCGGAAGCACTTGGAAACAATATTCACATCCGCAGCAAGGCAGCAGAGCGGACTACTGAAACTAAGAACCAACTTTTGAGCTGAAGCTGTGCTTGACGCCATTGTAAGCCACACTTCTCTTATTTACTGGGCAAGGGAGGAAGCAGCGGGCCGACCCCCAAATAGTGGAGATGACACTTCTCGAGAAGCGACAAAGATAGTCAGAATGGTTACAGCGGCATCAGAACATAACATCTCTGCTGTCCTGGCCAGACTCTGCGCATTCTTGACACATCCGTTTGCAAAGGCTGCCTGCATGACGCGGCTAATGCAGGATCAGCACGCAGTCCAGTACGAAACGACTACCCCAGTTATACTTTCCATCACTTAGCCGATGCCTGCTGCAATGTTGGGTACGGTCCGTTCCGCCCTCTGACGTCACCTGACCTTTAGCGCGACCCCCTGCCAACGGCCGCAGGCCTTCTTGTCTCGGGCAAATAGCGAGTGCCTGAAGCGACCCGAACCCACCACGCTGCGCGGGTGGATGGATTGGAATGCAGGTGCTCTGGAGAACTGGGTGATGGGTACGGACGAAATGTATCACGTAAGCGTTGATTTTTCAGGTTTCCGATTAATTCATGTTTGAGACCATGGTAGCAGACTGTGGCGCGACGTGAACGGCGGGTAAATGTTTGGATTAAGCATACGACGGTCTAAAATTCACCAAGCCATAAGCGTATCGTGATCCATCAACGGTTGGCAGCCGAAATTTTCGAATATGCGAAAGTTAGTTGCATCC